TGAACCGCTGGACCAGACCTAACATCCAGACCGGGCCTGACCATGCTCCAGATGACCATATCCTGGAAGAGGGAAAAGATGCGGCCTGCCAACCTGCCACATCACAAGTGCCTCAGTCCAAGACCTTGCTGGAAGGGGGAGGAGTGCAGGAAGTTAGTGTCTCAGCCTGGACATGTCTCACATGAGGACAGGTTGGAAGTGGTGGGGCTGAGCTCCCCCAGCCCACTCTACCAGAGATCTCCCCAGGCGTGGGGCAGCCATCCTGAGCCCAGCTGCAGGCAGGCTTGGAGCCTCTGTACAGGGAGCCTCTGGTGGGATGTGCTCATCTCTTCCCTCCATCTCCCAACATACACAAGACTGAGTAGGTTCAGGAGGCCAGGACAATACGTACAAGACTATGGGACTCTTGCCCTCAAGAAACAGGAGGCTGCTACTTGGATGGTGAGGGATGCAGTACTATCAGGAATTCTTGGAAAGGTTATTGAATTTCTACTGGTACTAAACTTCCGACTGGCCTCTTCCCACAGCCACCATGAATGCTGGACTGTCCTGCAGTGGGAACCACCAAGGGATTGAAGTCCTGGGACTCCCTGCTTGCTAGGCTGGAGGAAACCTCACAGCCCTCCAGCACCAACAAAGCTGGCAAAGATGAAAAAGGAGATGTACTCCCACCGACATGCCTACCACAACACCAAGGTGACTACTGGCATGATCGGCCACTTCACAGAAAATCCAGCACACCTGGTCCTGACCCTTCCCTTCTTCCCCAGCAACACAGGTTAGGCTCTGGCTGCAAAACACGCTGCACAGGGTAAGACTCCACACCGAGCCTTGGTGGCCCAGCTGGACAGCAAGCAACTTTGGTCACTCACCTCATGTTGGAGGCCAAGGGAGTACCAAAGCTGTCCTCTGAGCAGCAAGGGCTGTGCCGAGCACCCTTCTTTCGTCTCCCCCGCTCCTCTTCCCTCTCTGTCCAGGGGGCATCTGTGGCTGAACTGGTCCCAGAGTCCGGCTCTAAGTGAGCCAGAGGAGCAAAGTTCTCCTCGATCAGCTTGGCGCTGTCTCGGATCTGTCCCTGTATTTCTGGGGTGAGGGTTGGGAGGTCAAAAGTAAAAAAGGTCCCATGGGTGCGGGCTGGGGAGGAGAGGATGTCAATGGAGTCCAGGCTGGTGTAAGATGTGCCTTTGGCTCGATGGGACTCCATGATGCTCTCAAAATGCTTGCTGAAAGAGTCCATGCCATCCTTGGAGAGGCTGTGCCCTAGGAGGAAGGGCACTGGAGACTTGAGCATACCCTGTGTGTCTCGGTCCATGATCCTAGAGGGAAAGAAAGTGAGAAGAACTGGTCACTGAAGAGCAAGGGATCAAAGCCCCAAAACAAAAGCCCACACACTGCTCCAGAAGGAAACTGGGGAGGGCAGAAATCTCCTCTGAACATCTGTAGACCTCCAAGGAAACGCCTCCCCTGCCCAAGACATCATGGGAAGAGGGACTGGACTGGCCTCCCTCCAGACATATGCTTCTCCTTTAATGTGCCACAGACTTTTGTTCCTTTAGTGGCTCATCATCATAAGAAGCTTATAAGATGGCTACTGCTCCCAGTCACTCGATTTGAGCTTAGATCCAATAAAGGGCTCAAGCACCAGAAGGAGGATGTGGTTCAGCTCCATTTCCAGCCAAATCTGGAAGTGGCTGAATCTTCCTCAAGCCTTCAGAACCCCCGTCACCCAGAAGGTGCCTTCTGAAGCTGCTCAGGACAGCACAACACCTTCCTCCATGAACGCAGCACCATGGTCACTGAGGACCACGCTCAAGAGCATGACCAGCACTCCCCTGCAAGGTCTGCTGGCTGGTCCCAGGGGACATCTGGGTGCTGGGTGCATCACAAGGTGATACTGAGCCCCAGGTTTCCCCAGGCAGTACCAAGGAAGCCTTGCACCCCACTCTGGGCTCAGGGACCTGAGATGACCCATATCCTAGAGGCCAGGCTTGGTCCTGGCTCATCATCTTGTCAGGGGCTGGCCCTGCAGGAAGGCCCAGCCTGTCTCCAGCAGGTCTGGGTCCAGCCCAGCACAGGAGTTTCTAAACCCTGAAGCCCTGAGTGTTTTGTGCTGTAAATGAGGTGAAGCGCAGCCTGCCCATCCGTCTGAGCACGTGACAACAGGGACATTTCCAACCCAGGGAACATCAATGCTTCAGCCGTACAAGCATAAACACAGCCCTAAAAGCCTACTTTACTCATAAGCCGCTATCATTTTATTAAAGCGGCAGAAAAGCGCTTGTTATGCCACTCTCTCCTCTGATTAAAGGAGAGGAACTGCTCCAGCTTGTCATAACATTTGTTATGAACAAACAACTTCATACAGAGGGCTCAGAAGATGCGTTGCTGTTACAAGCACCAAATGATTTTCATTCATTAGCCTTCACATACCACTCAAAAATCTCACCCGGATTACTTCAGCAGGCCAAGAGCTGGCAGCCTGACTCCCCCAGAGTGCCGGCTGGCTTCAAGGGGAGCACAGCTAAGCCAGATGCAGGTAAGCAAGGCAGGATAGAGGCTGCTGTTGCCCACCCACCAATGTTTCCCTGGCTGTGCAGCACTGCTCAATGCTCTTACCACTCCCCTAGGAGCCCCAGGAGCAGCCACCTCTGGGGTGGCTTTCTGGCAAGGACAAGGCAGAAGAGACCTCTAACATCTGCAGATGAGCTTTACAGATGTGAACATGCATTCACTGTCCTTACCACCCAGCTGTGTGCTACCAAACCAAGCTAACAGCGCCAACTTTGTTTTGCACTTTGAGTCCACAAGGAGGGCAGTGAGCTGTGCCAGGGAGGACAATGTCAGTGGATGGAAGGGACCTTGTTCCCAGGAGAGGGAGCTGGGCTCATTCTTGCAATAAAGTTTATTGCCACCAAGCCACAGAAAAAACACAGCTGGTTTTGTCCACACCATCTGAGCTCTGGAAACAATCTCTCCATCCCAAAATATCAAGTGCAAAGGCATTCAGCTCCAGAAGGATCTAGTCGCAGCAGCATGGGCGCAATGCTGCCTGCACACACCGCTCCTGCTCAGACCTAGACACTTCATCAGCCCCCACTGCACTCCCCAGCCCTCCCCGTCTGCTACCCCCCCACACGCCCTGCTCCAGTCCCCCCGGGAAGGGTCACTGAACCGTCAACCAAGCCAGAAAAATGCAGCTGGGAGGAGCAGAGGAGGGGAGGAGACGCAGAGGCTGTAATCAAGCATCTGCGCAAGGGCGATGGGTGGCAGGAAAGCAGATAGGTTTCCAGTCTTGAGCTGAGGTGGGAGAGGTGGGGCCTCCCTTGGAGAGGGCCAGGTGGGTATGGAGGGGAAGCGGATCCCGGGAGCCGATGGCCGCGCTGCATTGCACATCAGCACCAAAGCCAGCAGCATTTCAGGCGAAGGTCTGCCCGTGGGGACCCCAGGGGTCTGAAAACTGGGCTCCTGCAGCTGCGTCTGACAGCCAGTGGAGGGGAAGGGGCTCGCAGAGCCGTGCTGCAGAGCCGTGCTGTCCCCAGAGGAGGGGAGAAGAGGGGAAAATCTCTCTCCTCAGGCCCTCAGCAGTTTTCTCTCTGCCAAATGCTCCTGTGACCCTCCAGACCCCTGACTGCCCCAGCCATGCCCCACTCCTCCTGCCTACACAGGCACAGCAGGCACTGTGGGGGGACCCCAGCTCAGCCCAAAGATAGTGAGGCTGTACAGCACCACCCGGCAGCCCCTCGCTTAATTCCTCTCTGAACAATTCCTCTCTTGTGCAGACCAGCTCCAGCAGCTCCTTGCACTCCCCCAAGCTCCTTCACACGTCTCCTCCTCCAGCTCGGCAGCTGCCCACTTTTGGGGCTCAGTGTCCAACTCCAACCCATGCTCAGCCCCAGGTGCTGACCACAGGCGCTGCAGTCCCCCGCCGGCTGCCCGCACTCCCCTGCCACATCCACACCGTCACGCTGGGGTCACGCTGCCCCCAGTCCTCCCCCACAACCTGCAGGCATCTCCCCCTGCTCATCGGCAGGCGCCTGCCGGCATCACCCCAAAGATTCCCTCTCCAGCCCCACCAGCGGGAGCCTGCGGGACGTGGGAGCATTGCCCTGAGCTGTGGCTCTGTGGCCATGTTGGACTCTGAGACAAAGGCTCAGCCTCAGCACAACACATCACAGGCTTGTGGCTACTGAAGCAGGCTAAGCCTGTGCTTAAGCGTTTGATGAAATCAGGGCCATAACCATTTTTTAATCCCCAGCAAGGCTTGCCCTGCAGCTATTTTTCTCTCTGTCAAACAGGGAGCACAAAGGCTCTGGAAAGGCTCCCCAGGTAGCAGATCCAAGGGCTTTCCTGGGCGAGGCTGCTCTGCTTGCAGGGAGAAAAGGCGTTTCTGCCTCCCGCCAGCCCTCCGTGCTCTCGAGGGAGTGGGGCACCCCTGGCAAAGCCTCTTCTCTCTTATCAGCCCCAGGCACCGCTGCTGCAGGCCAAGCCGGGCCCTGCCTCCAGCTTAGCCAGCACAGCTGCCTGTGCTCAGGGAGGTCGGGAATTGAGGCCGCTGAAAGGTCTCGGCTCTCTGGGACTAATGGGAATAAAGACAGTAAAGGCTTAGACTAGTCATTAGAGTTGGTAGATCTGACTCTAAATATATTCAGGGAGCGGATTTGCTGGAAGAAGACACCGTTTCTTCTGTCGCTTTCCATGTCTTGTTTGATTTGGTGTTGGGTTTTTTTAGCCCAACGTCTGGCCAGCTTTTAGCACGCTCTCTTATTTTGGGAGAGTAAATCATCAAAGAAGATGCCCTTTGGCCAGCATATGAAGGACAAGATAGTGCCCAGCCAAAATCTCCCTTGCAAAGGGTGCTAAACCTTTAAGGCTAGATTTTCAAAGGGATTTACATGTTTAAATGCTGCAAATAAGCATCCAAAGGTGCTTCAGTAATTTTGCAGGGCTGGTCCTTCCCCGCTACCGGGCCAGGCCTGAGCTACAGCAGCTCCTGCAGAATGGTGCTGGCTCCGGGGAGCCCAGGGGGCTTCTTAATCACCCTGCCGTCACCCCTCCTGCGAGCAGGCAAAGCAGAAAGCTTGAAGTAGAAAACATCGATACTGGCGACTGGTAAACAGGGAGGAGGACTGCAGCTGCAGAGCTCAGAAACAGCGCGTAAGCAAAAATCCCAGGCTGCGATGCAGGGACTGCACAAGCTGGTGGTTTGAGGCTGGTGATTTTCAAGACACTGCCTGCAGTGTCTGCACCTGCCTGGGGGACATTCAGGGGGCTGCAAATCAAAAGAGCCACTGGTCTACAAAGAAGCCACGTAAAATGAGCACGGCGGCCCTATTTACACATCGGTAATTATACTGGGTGCATCGTCTCTAGGGGCAACGATGCATTTAAGGACACATCCAAGCTATCCAGCGCTGCCTGGAGAGCTACAATAAGGTGTCTCAGAGGGCAAAAAGCAGGGCTAGGCTTACAGCTCGTAGGACTTGTAGTGGCCTATCTGGAAATAAAATACCACTATGCAAGATAATTGTTACAGTAACTTGAAGAACTTTCTTGCAGTGATAACAACTGTACACCTTACTCAGAACTTCCTCTTCCCAGCACCCCCCAAGCAGGGTGGCTGCCTAGGCTCATTGTCATGTGAGTTGCAGACAGTTTCTGATCTGTTTAGTTGTATGTAAGTAGCCACTAGGAAGAAAAAACAAATAAACAAAGTTTCGGGATCCTCAGGTTAAAAGCAGCATTGCTTTTATACAGCCATAATATGTTTGTGCTTCTAAAAGCTTGTTCATCTCCCAAAGCCTGTAGTCCGTGTAGTGATATGCTAAGTTTAGTGGAGTTCTAGTTCTGATGTGACCTTTTTTACCCAAAACTTTTTATATATTTGGAAAAAAAGTACATAAAAAATGGCTTATTTTCAGCTTTTCTCTAGAACCCAAAGTTTTTGAGGGTAGGTGGCAGGGAGGAATGTATCTGTCCCCTCCACTAGAGATGCAAGTGCTGGGCAAACTGGAAGGAGCCCAGCTTCCCTCAGGATGCACAGCCTTTCTCCCCATCAGCCCAGTACCTTCATGTTTCTCCTTCCCAGCAAAGGAACAGCCCATAATTTTTTCATTATCTCTTCCCACCGCCAACATCAAGCCCTCCCTTTTCCTTTTCTTCCCACCTAAGTGCTCCCCACCTGCCTTTTGCACAGCCAGGTGAGTGCCTGCTGCCCCGCGGTGTCCCAGGCATCACCCTGCCTTTGCACTACCCAGGCAAGACCTCTCCCCGCTCCTGCGGAGCTCTTGCTGAGGATACTGAGCCCCCACATCTCACCCAAGATTCTTTGCCAATGCACGTGTCAGGAGGTGCCCTTGGCTGCCGCTGCCTGCACGGGCATCACCTTCTCCCTGCCGGGCCTTCCCCTCCAGGTGGCCGTCCCACACAGTGCTCTGGAGCTCCTGCCCCTCCTGATGCCTCCTGGGGCAGGTGGATGATGCCTGTCACTCCTCATGGTCAAACCACCACTCCAGAGGACACTCCACAGGCAGAGGCTCATGCTGCCAGGCCAAAACACCATCTCCCTTAGGTCCTAATTGCCAGTGCCTGACACAGGGCAGATGGCAGCTCGGACGGCATTAGCTGCCCACAGGTGGACAACTCAGTGATCACCCTGGTCTCACCTGCTCCACCAGCCACCCAGTGCAGGGCATTTAGTCACACAAGTGAAAAATGACACGAAAGACAACAAAAGGTTTTCTCCAGCCCAACGCTCCCCCGCTCTTTAACAAACACGGCGAATACCTACTGAGGCCAAGCAAAAGGGACTGCTCCCACCACCAAAGCACAGCCATCTGCAGAGGGGAGGGCGGCCCAGCACCGCCTGCCAGCACACAGCAGCTCCAGGACACAGCCTGGGCTCAGGTGCTCTGACACCGTCACCCCAAGGCCTGCAGCACCGAGGCAGGACGTAATTAACCTGCTGGGACTCACGCCGGGAAACCTCAGCTCAGCCAGGCGACCTGAGCTGCAGGGCTCACCCCAGGGGAGCGGGGCCCAAGGTGCAGCACCCGGGGCTGGATCACCAGCGCTGCCCAATGCTTCCCATGGCGGGGGGAGGGTCCTCTTCTAGCCCTAGTCCCTGTCCCATCCCAGCCCAGGGATCCAGGACCCCATCTGACCCCCACGCACAGCTCAGATGGAGCTACTGGGATTTTTGGCTCAGACGCTCTTTCAGCAGAGCCCGTTTTGCCATGCAGGGGACAATAAGGAGAGCGAGAGGAGCTTTTTGCCCTCACAAACGGAGCCTCACCTTTCCCTGTTCTCTTTCCTCGTCGCCTCAAACACCTCATTGTTCTCGTTCACATCCTCATCCCGCAGCCCATCCTTTGGGCAGCCAGTGCCTGGGGCCGGGGGTTCCTCCGGCGTGCTGTTCCTCCTGCCTGGGGTACCCTCAAAGCTCGGGTTGCTCTCGCTGTCCTTCTGGCTCTCAATTGCCGAATCCACCTCCTCCTTCTCGGCCAGGATATCGTCGATGTTGGTTTCACGATAGCACCTCAGCGGCACAGTGTCCAGGTCTGTCTCGGAGTACTTCACCGTCCTCTTTATAATCCCAGTCTCGCAGGAGCCGGGCTTCTGGCCACCCGGAGGAGACATCTCTATCTCCACCTCCACATGGCTCAGGCTGTGCTCGGGCACCAACCTTGGCGGCTCGGTGGGCAGCGGGCAGACAGGCTTGGCCAGGGGAGCAGAGTCAGGGGCAGAGGAGCCTGTAAGGAAGCCCCAAGCACTCAGAGCTGTGGGGAGCTGTGCCGGGGAGGGGCTGGGGAGCCACTCCTGCGGCATCACATGCACAGCAAGACGCGGGTCACACATGTGATGGGTACCGGGGAATGGAGAGGGGGAGCCAGAAGGAAAAAGGGTGGGAGAGGCAGAGATAGGATGCTGTCAGTGCTAGTGCACCTGGAACCAGCCCCGAGACCCCACCTGAATGCCAAAGCCCTTCTGCAGAGGCAGCCGGGGACTGCTGGAGTCAGGGCTCTGCATCGCCCCCTTTGCATGACACTTTGCACAGCCGCAGGGGACACTGCAGGGAGGTTGGTGCATGCAGGGAGCCCCAGGAGAGCACAGACTGGCTGATCTTGAGGGGATCTCGGCTGTCTGGTGGGCACAGACAAGTCTTGAGGATGGGCATCCCCGGGGGAGTACTGGCAGTGATTCAGGGCATGGGCTGAGCTCTGCCGGGGGTACGGCCACACACTGCCCTGCAGAGGGGAGAGCAGTGAGCGGGTGGTGGAGCCTAGGGCAGAGCCCATGCCCAGCATGGGGCACCCCAGCACCTACCTGGGGCCGGGGCTCTGGCTTCAGGGAGCTCCTGGCGAAGGCGGGGAAGTCCTCTGGCAGCCCATTGGCGAGGGAGCGGCAGGGGCAGTCAGCATCGAGGGCGCAGGGCTCCTTCCCACAGGGACGCGTGCC